CTCCAGGTGAGGAAGCGCTCCAGGTGAGGAAGCACTCCGTGTGAGGAAGCGTTCCGTGTTAGAGGAAGTGCTCCGTGTGAGGAAGTGCTCCGTGTGAGGAAGTGCTCCACGTGAGGAAGCACTCCAGGTGAGGAAGCACTCCAGGTGAGGAAGCACTCCAGGTGAGGAAATGCTGTGTCAGGAAGTGCTCTGGGTGAGGAGGGGCTTCGTGTGAGGGAGTGTTCATTACTGATGGCTGTGATTGCTCTAGCCACAGCCTTACTCACCAGTCTCCAGAGGTTCTGGGCGGGCATGGAGATATTATAGTCAATATAGCAGGAGACCTCCTGTGAATGGGGACTCAGAGGGGCTGCAACATCATGCCTAGAAAACCGAGACTGAGATTTCAGAAGGAATTCCTTGAACTCCTCTGGAATCACTTACTAAATCTGTCAGGGGGGAAAAGGTTGCTTTTGAGAAACAAAGCCAGCTCAGCCATAAGGGGTGGCCTGGTCCCATGAGTCGCTGCGACTGAGGACAGAGGTCTTGAGGCTCAGCGATGGGAGTGGACGCTAAACAGGCAGCAGGCCCTGCGGGAACATTTCCAGGGGAAAAGGACCCTCTGCTGTGGAACGTTCCACCTGTTAGACGAGCGAACCAAGTCTCAGAGGAAGGAGCCGCAAGCCTAGGCCCCTGACCCACTACTGCTGTGATGCCAGCTGGCAGTACCAATGCTCCAACTTACAGGGCTGAGCTGCCCACTCCTGCACCCAGCTGGCCTGGGGACGCAGCAGTTATGCCGGGAGAAAAGGCTATCAACCTTAATGTTCACGAACACCCACTTCTTTTTGAGACGGAGTCTCACTCTGTCACCCCGGCTGGAGTGCAAATGGCGCGATCTCAGCTCACTGCAACCCCTGCCTCCTGAGTTCAAGCGATTCTCCTGCCTCAGCCTCCTGACTAGCTGGGATTACAGGCATGTGCCGCCATGCCTGGCTAATTTTTGTATTTTTAGTAGAGACGGGGTTTCACCATGTTGGCCCAGCTGGTCTCCAACTCCTGACCTCAAATGATCTGCCTGCCTGGGCCTCCCAAAGTGCTGGGATTACAGGCGTGAGCCACCGCGCCCGGCCAGGAGCACCTGCTTCCTTTAATCAGTAACCATGTTGCACCGCACCATGCACCTGGCACTGTCTAGGAGCAGCCACCCCGCTGTGAACAAGATGCGGCCCTCACAGCCATCTGGGAAACAGCCATCATGCTGGTAGGCAGAGCATGCAGCTGTGAGAGTGCCACTAATAAAACAAATGGCGGGGGACAGCACCCAAGAGGCACTTTTTGATGTGGTGACATCCCAGCAGACCCCTACATAGAGTGGGCCATGGGGGAGCCAAGTCCAAGAACACTCCCGCAGAGGGAGCGAGTGTGAAGCCCTGAGGGGCCTGCAGGTGGTCGTTTCAGGGCTGGGAGGGAGCCAGGGTGGCGGGGGCGAAGCGGGTCAGGGTCACCAGGGGCCTCGGTGGGAGAACTGAGCATGACGGGAGTCACTGAGCCCGGAGCGGGCTGCTGCAAGGTGGAGAGGTCAGGCCCCAGGAGGTGGGAGTGGAGGGAGAAGTAAGGACCCCTACCTAGGGCTGGTTCTGAAGTTTGAGAAACAGCATCTCCCAATGGAATCAACATGCGATGGGAGAGGAGGGGAAGGAGCCAGGTGATGCCTCAGCTACTGGGCCCTTTCCAGGGAGAACCAGAAGAGCCAGGGCCAGTGACTGTCCCTGTGGAGGTGGGAGTCGTGGAGAGCTGGAGGTGAGTCCCGGGCAGCCGGGTGGAAGTCCAGGAGAGGCAGCCCCGGGACTGGGCCTGTGCAGAGGCGGCAAGGCCAGAGGCTCTCGGAGACTGAGAGCAACAGAGGAAGAGGAGGCGGTGGAGAGAGCAGTCGGGGAGGGAGGAGGAGGGTATGATCAACTGTGCCCAGCGCCACGGGAAGGCAGGTCGGACAAGGACGAAGGACTAGGAGGGAAGAAGCCTTCACGGCTCCACTCGTGCCCCAACTTCCAGGCTTCTTGGACTCACTCATGCTTTAAGCTTTACCACTTGGTGGAGGTGCACCCCAACTCCATTCTCTGTGTAGAAAGCGGGTCAACATTCCCAGCCCGTCCTTGTACACTCGTCCACTGGGCCCCAAGCTCTCCCAGGATGGGCTGTGCTAAGTGCTTCTGTCCAGTCCTCACAGAGCCTCTGCTTCCTCTTAACCCCCTCCCTTCTGCGGCCAGGCCTGGGTCCCCTCCCAGCAACAAATGTAGATCTAAGAGCTGCTACACGTGCAGATGAGGGGGAGACACGGGGCAGTGGCCCGAGCCAGGGCTCACGTTTTGGTCTGAACAGAGAATCACAGAGGAAACCCACGGGTGCCGCAGAGCAGACAGCGGGCACACTCACGTGTTCAGGGAGCGGGTGGTCATGCCGTGGACCAGCTGCACCATGTCCCCGTGCCGCACGGGTCTCGGAGGGCTGCTCACCACCAGCTGGTGCCTGGAAGACACAGTGCTGTTGGGACCATGCAGAGCCTTGTCCCCCGGAACCAACAGCTGCACCGGAGGGACACGAGCTCTGAATTCTGATGGTAGAGACTGCCTCCCAACCCATGTGTGCCTCACATGAGGTGAACACAGGAAACCAAAGCACAGACATTAATTGAGCTCTTTTCTGAAACCAAAGGTCACTTTCCAAATGTGATTCCACCCGCAGTCATCACACCTGCATTGCTCTGAATTTGTCTACAAACACTACAGTGATAAATGTACCATGACTGCCAGGGAATCCTGCTGAGGGGCATCCCACCAACCAAAGTGTATGAGGGACCCGGGGGCTGAGGCTCACGCCTGGAATCCCAGCACTTAGGGAGGCTGAGCTGGCTGGACCACTTGAGGTCAGGAGTTCAAGACCAGCCTGGCCAACATGGTGAAAGCCCATCTCTACTAAAAATACAAAAATTACCAGGGCGTGGTGACACAAGCCTATAATCTTATCTACTCGGGAGGCTGAGGCAGGAGAAACGCTTGAACCTGGGAGGTGGAGGTTGCAGTGAGCTGAGATGGTACCACTGCACTCCAGCCTGGGTGACAGAGTGGGACTCTGTCCCCCCACAAAAAATGAAGGAAAAAAAAAAGCCCACTCGGGCTGCAGGTGCTGGAGTTAGGCAGGCAGCAATGGGAGGACACCATAGGGAGACAGTGACCGAGACGGCTAGAGACCTGGTTTGGGGACAGAATCCACAGGACTGGATGTGGGGGTGAGAGCGAGGGGCGCCTCTAGCTGGGGTATGTGCAGGATGATGCTACTTTTTTCTGAGATGGAGTCTCGCTCTGTCGCCCAGGCTGGAGTGCAGTGGCCGGATCTCAGCTCACTGCAAGCTCCGCCTCCCGGGTTTGCGCCATTCTCCTGCCTCAGCCTCCCGAGTAGCTGGGACTACAGGCGCCCGCCACCTCGCCCGGCTAGTTTTTTGTATTTTTTAGTAGAGACGGGGTTTCACTGTGTTAGCCAAGATGGTCTCGATCTCCTGACCTCCTGATCCACCCGTCTCGGCCTCCCAAAGTGCTGGGATTACAGGCTTCAGCCACCGCGCCCGGCCGATGATGCTACTTTTGCAGGAGGGGGGTTCTTGTTTTTATGAGGAAGGGAGAGGGACACAGGTCGGGGCACTGGGGCTCGCCTGGAAACTCCTCAGAACAGCTACTGAGCAGGCTGCTTACTGAGGATCTCATGACCTCCTCCCTGACCTCAAACTTAGCACTGAGCTGGCGTTCAAGGCTGTGACGGTGACTAGAGTCAGTGAGGGAGGGAAAGAAGGGGGCCCAGGACTGTGTCCCAGGGTCTTGCCTGGACAGGCCAGGACGTGAGCTCTGCTCTGGAGTCGCAGGACCTGCACTCACCTCCCGGGATCCTTTACAATCCACCAGTTATTGACGTCTTTGAAGGGGTAACAGGTCACCTGCTGCTGGTGGGAGCTGCCTCGGCCGTTCTCATATCTGTGTGAAGTCAACAAAGAGATGTATCCGGGCCAGGTGCGGTGGCTCACGCCTGTAATCAGAGCACTTTGGGAGGCTGAGTTAGGATAACTGCTTGAGCCCAGGAGTTTGAGACCAGCCTGGGCAACAGAGTGAGATCCCTATTTGTAAAAAAAATAAAAGAAAGGGAAAGAAACGTATCTGGAAGTGGGTCATGGATCGGGCCCACGAGCCTTTCTCCTAAAGTTTCTGCAAAGGGAAGCAGATTTCAACAAATACGACCTAGCAAGGGGTTTCAGGGAAAATGAAGATACCACAGATAAGGAGCTGAAATCAGACAATTTAGGCAGGCAGTGCTGAGGTCAGCCACAGCCACAGAGCTGGGGCCGACCCTGGGGCCGACCCTGGGCCCCGCCACATGCCGAGTCCCTCCAGCAACACCCGGGAACCACAAAGCTCACTGGCAATCAACCCCCGGGCTGCTCAACTTCCTTCTGTCCTGCAAACAGACTTCCTCAAAGAAAGGGAAAGTTTCTAAGATAAGCAAATCTATGAGCAAATAAATCTTCAAAGTAAAACCCTCACTTTCCTTACATCATGGGGTAGGTGTCCTGGTGGGAATGCAGCCAGCAGGGCACAGGTTTCCCAAAGACGTTCCTCAGAGTGACCTGGGACCCAAAGGCCACCTCCAGCGGCTGACCCTGGGTGATCCGAGCTAGTCCTCCCTGAGACAGAAAGAAAAATGCCCCTAAGCCAGCCTTCCCGATGGCCACTCCTCCCTCTGGAGTGATGTTCAGGCTAGTGGCCATTCTTTTAATACTGGTAATGATCTACTATTTAATCACATCACGTTACATTATAGAACCATAATGAGCGCTAAGTTTGATCAAATGCTGCCTCTGGGCCACTCAGTTCAGCCTTCCACACGCACCCTATTCAGTCCGTACCAGCATCCTATGAGGTAAGAGCAATGATGATGTCTGCCTAAGAGATGAGAAGACCAAGACTGGGGTGAGCCAAACAACTTGCTGAAACACACAGCACTATAGCACTGGCCGTCGGCAGGCTTGGTTGACTTCGGGAAACATGGTCCTGACCGCCTCTACTGATACCTTCTACCACTGCTGCGAGGTTCATAGGAATGAAGGTCACAGTTGAGTGTGGTCCTTAAGGCGGGTGAAACTGCCCAGGGTCTGTAGGACTTGACTTTAAAATGCTCCCAGCTGCGGAGCACGGTGGCTCACTCCTGCAATCCCAGCATTTTGAGAGGCTGAGGCGGGTGGATCACTTGAGGTCAGGAGTTCCAGACCAGCCTGGCCAACATGGTGAAACCCTGTCTCTACTAACAAAACAAAAAAATTAACCGGTTGCAGGTGCTTGTAATCCCAGCTACTTGGGAGGCTGAGGTAGGAGAATCGCTTGAACTCAGGAGGCGGAGTTTGGGTGACAGAGTAAGACGCCATCCCCCGCTGCCAAAAAAAGAAATATGGATGTGGATACCTCATTTCTTGATTCAAGGGCTACTGTTCACTTGATGTGTTTCTAAGAAAACTCTGGGTCCACTATCATCTTGCTCCTCCAGTAGCCACGATGCCCACTGCTTACTTACCTCTAAGCTGGCCTGGAACGCACTGGACATGATTTGGTCGTGGGGCCCAGAGCGGAAGAGCAGAATCAAATGGACGTAGAAGAACAGTAAGTACAGGACGACCGGGATGACCAGCAAAGCCACTGCTCGGGCCAGCAAGTGACAGAACACACAGACCTGCCAGAGATTCAAAGAAAAGTCACGCCCTACGACGTGGAAAAGTGCACCCACCTCTAAACATTATGAGCTCAGGAAAAGTTAGTGAAAGACACTGGCCTCCCATACAGAGGCATGTGCAGAGGCTGACAGGCGAGGCTGCCCAGGCCTGCCTGCTTCTGAAACATTGAGGATTGAGTCTTTTCACCAAGCACCCCCTGTGACATCCCCATCTGCCCCACACAGGCCTGCCTCATGCAGCACTGGACGTCAGCACCTACATTGGACAAAGTCTGGTCTCCAATCAGGTGCCAGGCATGGACAGCTGCAACTGCCAGCATGAGCACGTATGTGAACATACCCATGTACTTGATGCTGCAAAGACATGACAGGAATGGAGTTAACATGAGACAGGAAAACACGAGGAGGAGGAGGAGGAGGAGGACACTGCCCGAGACCAGAGGCTTGAACTCACCCCACAGCGCAGGAACAAGCAACCCCTGTCAGTGTTAGCCAGAACCACCAGCTCAGAGAAAAAGGGCTGGAATACAAACAGAGCAGATGGAGACAGGAATAGTTCAGACACATTTCCAAAAGGCTAGAGAAGCTCCACATTCCTCAGAGAAATCTTTCTGGGTCAGCTGGCCATGCTGAGCCCCGGGTGCAATAAGAAAGAATTCCCATCTCCCAAAGTATCCGGCCCAGCAGAATTTTTCTTTTTGCCCAGAAAATTTTGCCCTGTTAGTTTAAATTACAGAAAAAATGAAGATGTATTTATGAAGTCACAAGCCAAGGGCCAACCCCCAAAATACTAGAGGACCAAAACATATCTAGCACTAGGCGCAGAAGCTCACGCCTGTAATCACAGCACTTTGGGAGGCCAAGACGGTGGATCACCTGAGGTCAGGAGTTCGAGACCAGCCTGGCCAATATGGTGAAACTCCGTCTCTACTAAAAATACTAAAATTAGCCAGACACGGTGCTGTGTGCCTGTAATCTCAGCTACTTGGGAGACTGAGGCTGGAGAATTGCTTGAACCTGGGAAGCGGAGGTTGCAGTGAGCTGAGATTGCGCCATGACATTCCAGCCTGGGTGACAGAGACTCTGTCTCAAAAAAAAAAAAAAAAAAAAAAAAGATATTTAGGGGGACAGGGACTCCGTCTCAAAAAAAAAAAAAAAAGATATTTAGCAAGCAACTCCTCAAAATGAAAAGGTACCGTCTCACAAAACAAAACAAAACAAAAAAAGGTACTGGACCATCTCAGGTCAACAAACCACCCAGAATCTCTGTTTTTGTTAATTAGGAAGACACTCCATTTTCCATACCTGTGCTTTTGGCAATTGAAGAACTTCAGGTAGGACAACACGGCCAATAGATTAAAAAATATTAACACTGATTCCAAAAGCATTAGCCTTGACTGAGTGATGAGAGCATTCTCTGTTTCAAAGAGGAAATACGTGTCAATTTTAAGGTAGCAAGGGAAAATGTATGAGGATAAAAACATTCATGAAAAAACGCATACTTCAGAAGCGATACAACTATGTGGGGCTGTCGTGAATGTTAACACATTCTATAGCACAGGGCCTCTTACAGTCATCACCCAATACATATCTTTTTCATTTTCTACTGTCTCTGTTTTTTTTTTTTTTTGAGTCAGGGTCTTGCTCTGTTGCCCAGCCTGGAGTGCAGTGGCATCATCGTGGCTCACTGCAGCTTTGACTACCAGGGCTCAAGGGATCCTCCTGCCTCAGGCTCCTGAGTAGCTGGGACAAAAGGTGCGCGCCATCACGCCCAGCTAAATTTTGTATTTTTAGTAGAGACAGGGTTTCGCCATGCTGGCCAGGATGGTCTCGATCTCTTGACCTTGTGTTCCACCCGCCTTGGCCTCCCAAAGTGCTAGGATTACAGGCTCACATGAGCCACCATGACCGGCTTATTTTTTTTGAGATAGAGTCGTACTCTCTCACCCAGGCTGGAGTGCAGTGGCACAGTCTTGGCTCACTGTAACCTCCACCCCATGGGTTCAAGCAATTCTCCTGCATCAGCCTCCCAAGTAGCTGGGATTACAGGCACCTGCCACCACACCCGGCTAATTTTTTGTATTTTTCGTATTTTTAGACGGGGTTGCACCATGTTGGCCAGGCGGGTCTCAAACTCCTGACCTTGTGATCCACCCACCTCGGCATCCCAAAGTGCTGGGATTACAGGCGTGAGCCACCGCGCCCGACCCTTTTTTTATTTTTTGTACAGATGCAGTCTTACTATCTTGCCTAGGTTGGTCCTGAACTCCTGGGCTCAAGTGAGCCACCTGCCTCAGCCTCCCAAAGTGCTGGGATTATAGGTGTGAGCCACTGCGCCCAGCCTAATCTAACTTTTCATCTGCTTTAATTTCATCTGTTCATAAACGTGAGCTGGAAGACCCTCTCTGAAGAGGACCCACTGACTCACGAGTCCATCTCAGTTGGTCAAGGCCCGGGAGGGGGTGGAACAAGGGGAAGTTATCATTTGGTCACAGGATTGGTTGGAGATGGAGGTGCCCACGTGTGCATGGACTTTGCAGCATCATCTGGGCAGTTTTCTACTGCCACACCCCGACTGCTGATCAGAGTCTGATCCCACAATTCAGCAACCCCATAGCCATGGGGCCAGCCTGGGAGTGGGTGATGGGCAGCGCCAAATCTGGATGAACCAGGTACACTTTTCGGTGCAGTTCGCCCACCATGCCCACGTGATCTTCTGGGCCAGAGGGTCAGTTCCTCCCTGGATGACAGCAAGAACAGGTAGGGGCCCAGGTCTTACCGATAAGCATCAACAGAGCAGCTCCTATGGCGGCACAATGAGAAAAGTGGAGCTCCAGCACTATCTGGTAGGCCATGGGGACGGACAAGGCCCCGGCGAGCGCCGGCAGCAGGCGCAGGGACCACACGGGCACGTTGCTACTGTATTCTGGAAAAGCAACCACACCGCAGAGCTGACTGCACTGTGCACACACCATCTCCATGTACTGCAGCTGTGTTTTCACACAGCGCCATCACGTTCACAGACTCTAAAATGCACATTTACAAAACTGGGGACCACATCAGCAGCGGAGTGCATACACTATGGGTGAGGGCTTTGCAATGAGCTTCGCATAGTCACGGAACCCGATCTCATGAAGCATAGAAAGGACTAAGGATTCTAAAATTACTGGCTTACTTATACATTTACCCTCCCTATTTTCAAAAACATTGTGGCAATGTACAAAATTTACCTGTAAAAAGATAATTGCAATCAGATGCTACATAATATGTGTACCAAAAACAAGGGCGAAAATAATGACTGTAACTAAACACTAAGGTTTTAACCAGACTTTTCAAAAGTCTTTCATTTGTATACAACCAATGTATTATTTTCTGGACTCAGATTAGTAAGGCACAGTTTCTACGGGACTAGGTATGAAAGGAAAAAAAAAAGCCACAGTTGTTAATCCCTACAAAAACCACGATCTCTCCATTCTAACCTGTGCACATTAATAAGGGAAATGAAAATTATCTTTTACCTGCTCCAATTCTGTTCCACAAAAAATGGCCATCGAATCCTCCTAAATAACCTGAAACAGAAGATTAATCAGTAACTATCCCATTCAGCAAACATTTCTAGAGTACTGTGGCAAGCAATAAACAAGATGCGTCAATAATAAGTCCTGGATTCTGCCCGTAAGAAACGCACTGACAAGTTTTCAATGTATTTGAGGTCCTGCGGGGCAGGGGCTATTCTCCCAACTGATGACTCCTACCTCCCAAGGCCAGCACCATGTGGCCCAATGGCGGCCCACTGTCATCCAAGAAGAAGATTCGTTTCATGTAAAAAGAGATGTACTGCCCATAATACACTTCGTCAAAACTGGAAAAAAAAAAAAAAACAAACCCATGTTATATTCAATTAGAATCTTAACTGTAAACAAAAAGTGTGAGGATAAATGTCTATGTATTTCCAAACGACTCTGGGTGGGTGATCAGCAAAGGCTGGATCTTTTGCCCCAACTGTTTCCCATCCCCAGATATGAAGATGCATACAGCATCACCCACCCACAGAGACATGGGGAATTCCCCAAGCACAGCTGGCACTCAGCATGCCTGCCCCATACAGATTCTGTCTCTCCCTCGTGTTTGATTTCGGTGGATACTATGAGCCAACCTGCTGAAAGAGCTGCCGGGACACGAGGCTAATCCTGCCGCCCACCCCCCACCCCCACCCCC